TCTTCAGGAGCCGCTGCCCTCCTTTTTGTCCCCCTCTCAAATGAAAAAAAAAAAAAATAAACATAAAAAATAAGTAAAAAGGGATTGTCTCCATGGTACAGTGGTAATGTGCTGCTCAAGAGAAGCCAAATCTCACATGGCAACAATGGTTTGAATCCCCAGCCCAACCTCCTGAAATGGACCAGCCACGTGCTCGAGTGCCCAAGACCCAACAGATTAGAGGACGTAGGAAGGGCGCCACGGTGTGACCAGGGGCTGTGGACCTGGCTCATCTCTGCTCTCACGCGTGGGAGCACATCCTCCATCACAATTTAAAAACATTAAAGCGGGACCAGCAGATGGCATCATGGTTACACCTCTGGACTCCCATGCAGTGGTTCGAGTCCCAGACCCCGCTACTTAAAACTCACACCCAGCACATGCCCAAGATCCCGAGAGGAGAATGGAGGAAAAGGGACTGTGGCATGGCCACCCACCCCCTCCACCCTGAGAGGGTATGATTTCTCGCTTTTTGTCTCTGTCTCTTCGTTGAGTGCACACACCCTATAGCAAAAATCTCTCTACAAAAAAAAATTAAAATTAAAGAAAAAAAGTAAAAATATCACAACAAAACTGAAAAAATTCACTAAAAATTGAAATACTTCATTTCCTCTCTTAAGTTGTATCTGTACATTTACGTGGTATTTGTATAGATTGTGTCATGGTTGGTAGGCAAATCAGTTTTCCGCTTCTTTCGGACAAGGTAATTTTATGATTGGTCTGACAGGTCTCTGAAATTATGTCATCTGTCATCCTCACGGCTAAATCTTGCATTACACTGACACGTCCTAGTATCCCTTTCATATATTTTAAACTTCTAAGTTATTTTCAAGGTTTAGATAGTGAAAACCATGTTTTGCCCTATCATCATCTTGTTTTTGTTTTTGTTTTTAAGAGGTTTTTGCCTTAGGGCACGTGTGCTCACTGGAGAGAGGGACAGAGACAGTGAGGGGGAAAGTGAGAAGTCACCCCCAGGGGATGCCCACACCACCATTCCTCTCCTCTATTCTTCTCTTGGCATTTGGGGCATGCATGCACATGCACCTGGCATGTCCCCCCCCCCTTCAGCTATGACACAAGAGATGATTTATCGTACACATATTATACTCAGCCACAAGTAACAGCACTAGTCCCAGAATGCCACAGGTCAGAGGAAAGGACCGTAGTGGCTGTGTTGGTAGGAGCAATGTGGACCTCTCTGAGGTCTTGGTGATCCGCTGGCAATGCAAGTTCTAGATCGAGACAGATTAGACAGTATCTTGCAGCTGAACTTGTGCCAGCGCCCTGAACCTCCGACGTTCTGTCCTTCTGCCGTGGTCCCCACAGGTGCACAGGCTGTTAACTTGGGCCTCTGCCTCACCTTTCTGTTAACGTTTCAGCCTGTACTTTCGCTTCTCCCTCTGCTTGGTTCTCACAGCACAGAGGTTTCTGAGAAATCGGTGTTGAGGCCAAGAGAGGTCTGGCATAGTTTCCAAGCTGCCAAGTCCAGGACTTGAACTGAGGAGTGACGTATGTAGAGTCCAGCACCTTAACCACCGCACCACCTGCTGGCCCCTGGAAGTTTTTGAAATGTTTATGACTGGGTTAACTATTCAAAAAAAAATTACTGCTTCAAGAGACTAACTCAATTTTTTATTTTTTTTTTCTATTTTAAAATAGAACTTACTGGAGAATTGCAAGAATTGTGCAAAAACCTCCCATATAGCCTGGTGAACATTCCTAACAAAAATACCCAATCTCAAGAGCTCTCCCTTTACCTTCAGCTTGTCCTCGTCGATGTTTCTTGGAGGCCTGGGGTGGTGTGGAGTCCACACACAGGGACAGTGGGCCACGTGGGAGTCTAGTCTAAAGAAGGCCTAGCCACAGTATCACCGTTCGTGGTCCTTCGCGATAGTCACCCCACTCCTTGGAAAACCAACTTGATGCCAGATTAGACCTTAGCGGTTTCCGCGCAGAATTCCCACCCTCTGTCTACTTCTCTTCCCTTGGAGTTTCACATCACGTCTTACTCAGCTGGTGGGGCTCTCGTGTGGTCCTCATCCTGGGGTCATCCTGCATGCACTGCACTGATAAGTTGAAGCGGCCTCCTGGCCTTCCCTGTCCTCTGCCCCCGTAGTGACTCACCCGGTCCGCGGAGGAGGTGCCCACTGCAGAAACAGTGCCTGCCCGGGCACAGCCTGGCCCTCCAGGAACCCTTCCTCAGCTTCCCAGTGCCCACTTCGTCATCGCGCTATCTGGGCCTGGATTTTGTTTCTCTTTCTTAAAAGCAAAGGGCTTTGATGCAATTTTCCCAGGATGTGACACCTCGGAGATTTATTTTCATTTTCTTCTTTTTTCTCTCTGGGCCCCTTGACTGGAATCAAGGCTCCCATTGTCACCATATCAGCCTCCCCACAGCTCCCTCCTTCTCAGGCTTCCCAGAGTCCCCGAGGAAAACAATCTCCTGTTTTGTAAGGCAACAAAAGCCTTGGTTGCTACGCTGCAGGGTATTAACTGGCCTGAGACATTTGGACACATTTCTGCAGAGCGGGGCACCCACTGGTGACCCCCAAGCCTCTCTCCTCCACCTCAAGCCCCACGTCTACCTCCCCTTCCTTAGCCACTGGCTGACGAGTCGCCCACCCCAGAGCCTCTAATTTTGCAGGGGTTTAGTGGGGTGGGGAGTATAATGTGGGATTGTAGGAGTCCTGGCAGGCCTGGGGAAGGGCTCACTGCCCAGACCAGCCTCTGGGATCTGGGGATTTGCAGGTGACCCTCCAGCAGACAGTGTTCTCTCCAGAATTCCAATAAAGTCCCCTCATCGCCACCACCCTCCATCCCACTGAGCTAAGTACCAGGAAGCAAGCCTCTGCCCCCACTGTGGCGAATGATGGGGCCTATCTGCTGTCCCGTCCCCCACTCCACGGCTTCCTGTCCCTCCTGGCCCCTTTTCTACCATGACCGTCAGCAGGGCTGCAGCTTAACAAAATGTGGGAAACCACTCAGGCTCTGGCCGGGGCTGCCTTGTCTTCGAACCTGCAGATCAGCCACCACGGTTTGACAAGCAGAGTGTATTTCGGCTCAGAGCTCAGATCTGGCCTCCCCTGGGAGGGCGTGTCCTGCGGTTGCTTCTCTGACACTCCCCTGCCTCTCCTGGCTTTCTCCTCTCACCCCGCTCTTGTTCTCACAAGGCCTGGTCCCAGCGAGACATCGGCCAATAATAAATGGGGTCACTTGGCGTGCCCTGAGTTGTGCGAGGGACCGTTTAGCCTCTGCCTCGGGCTCCACTCTCACTGGCTGCAGAGAAGCCAGGAGCATAGTTGAGAAACTTGACTGAGGTCATCCGCCTAATTACCGGGCCAGCCGGTTTGAACCTAAGACTTCCTCGCAGTCTGGGCGACTGTGCTTTCTCAGCCCTCTGAGAGGTGTTAACCGTCCGACAGGTCGCCCGCTTCCAGGCTCTGGGCCCTGAGAGTGTTCTCCAGTGGGTGCTGGAATTTCAGGCAAGGTGGCGAGGAAGGCTCTGTGAGGAGCTGGTAGGGATGATGACTTTGGCTAGGTGAGGGAGAGGGGGACCAGCCTGGGCACAGACATGGGTATTATACAGAACTCCCTGCAGCAGGTGACCGACAAGAAACGGGTATGAGGAACAAGCTAAAGAGGAAAATGAGCAGGTCAAAGGAGGTCTAGGGGCACGTTTTAGAATAAACAAAGAATCTAAAATGGGATAGAAGGGGACCCTGGGAGGGACCAGCAGTTGGCATAATGGCTACGTTGCTGGACTCCCATGTAGTCAACTGCAGTTCGAGTCCTGGGCCTGGTGGCTTAAACTCATGCCAGGCATGTGTGTATGTGTTTCTCAAGATTCTGAGAGGAGAATGGAGGAGAGGGGATTGCAGCATGGCCATCCCCCCTGGGGGTAATTATTTCTCACTTTCTGTCTCTCTCAGTCTCTCTGGTGAGCACATGTACCCTGTAGCAAAAACCTCTCCAAAAAAAAACGGGACCCTGGGAGCCAGCCGCCACCTCCCTCAGCCATGGCCATTCTGTCTATAGGATGTCTCTCCCTCTCCCTCAGGAAACCTCGGCCTCAGCTTGTCTCCTGTCCTTCCGTTCTTTGCTGTGTCAGGATGTGGACCTCAAATTTCTCAACATAACAGTTTCAGCCGGCTCCAGGCCCTGCCCTGTACCCCACAGTCCCACTCCCAGGAAAACTGGAACCCAACAAGCTTTGAAGGGCACCAGGTCTAGGCTCCCGCCACACAGACAGAACTAGAGCAGAGACTCAGCCCAGCCCTTTCCACTGCAGGTGAGCCTGGGCCACCCCAGCCCCAGGTGTCCTGCCTGGCATTTCCATCCCCTCCAGGCAGCGGGGCCATCTGCCCCGTCCTTCCAATTCTCATGTCCCCTTGGGGCAGTTACTGGTACAGAGTCCAAAAGACACTCCAACCCACCCTCAGCTCCCCCAGCCCAACCTCCTCCCCTGTGTGTTTGTGAGCTGTCAGCTCTTGGCATGGAAGGGTGTTGGGGTCCGCTGATCCTGAGTCCTTTCCAGGCCTTCCAGTCTAGGCTTCTAAAGGAAGATGATTCTTAAGGTCCCATGCAGCTCCCGGATTCCTGCGATGTGATGACATCAGGACCGTGAATAATCAGGCTGGGCCGCAGCCAGGGTCTCTGTGCTGATTTCACGGGGAACTTCCTCCCCCTTCTGTGCGAACGCAGGCCCGCCCGGCTGCTGGCCAGGCCTGTCCACTGGGCATCCTCCCACCCGGGAGGAGCCCGCCCACCGGCCCCCGACCCCACCCCCCTCCGAACTTAAAGGAGGCGGGAGCCGTCAGGGAGATCAGAGAGAGGTCCAGCAGGAGCCCAGGGCTGGCCAGGGAGCCTGTGTGAGCAGTGAGGCAGCGAGGCGGCGAGGAACAGGCGGTGAGGAACAGGCGGCGAGGAGCGGACCCGGCGGCGAGGAGTGGCGGTAGGTTGAATATCTGTGACTTTCTCTGCGCGCCCCCCCTTCTCTCTCTGCAGTCTTCCAGCTAATGAAGGGATGCTTCAGTGAGGGAATGGGTTTCTGTAATTCAGCCAGGAGAGGATCAGCAAGAATCCCTTCCAAAGGGGAGACATCTTTTTGCATCTGCATTGAATCAGAATAGGCTAGAGTGGGGGAGTTCAGTGCTCAGAGAGCGAGAGAATTGTGTGTGGGGGATGCTTCTCTGAAAGTCTCTGCGTACAGAGTGAAGGGAGAGATGAAAGGAATTCCCCAGAAACACTCAGAATAGACAAGGGGAGCCCTCAGGATTCCAGGGCAATAAATGCAACATCACTGCCTTCGGGACACGTGGTGTGAGAGTGGGAGGGCCCTGCGGGCTGGAATCCTGCCTCTTCTCAGGGAGCCTGGGGAGAAACGGAGGCTGATGGGGCCCAATTTATGAGGTGGGAGGTGCTGGGAAAGAAGCAGGTGCCTTTTAGGGCCTCTCCACTCCACTCCACTCGGGGTGCAGGGCAGAGGCCCCCGCCCCCGCCCCCACGCTCTCCTCTGGCGGATTTAGCTCCAGGCATTCTGTCTGTCTGTCTGCACTTGGGCGCAGGCCCTCTTCCATGGCGTTTCAGCTGCAGACGAGAGTACCATCAGCATCTTCTATGCCCTTTAGCGCTCTGCAGGACTCCTGATTTTCACTGTTATTATCTTTATTTTCTTAACCTCCCAGGAGGGAGGGGAGGAGGGAGAGGCAAGGAGCTGAGCCCCGGGGTGCTCAAGTGCACAGAGGTGCAGTCCCTGTCATGCACATGGTGCAAATTTGGAATACGTAAGGGACTTCAGCACGTTCGTGGGAAAGTGGAACTGAAGTGTGAGTTTACTTTTGGTATAAAAAATACAGAAATCCATGCGGTTTTTCCCTACTTTGCATTTTCCAGGGACTTTTGGAAGATGCCGTGTGTGAGTGTGTGTGTGTGTGTGTGTGTGTGTGTGTGTACAATCTCATGAGTAAATCCTGCAAACACAGCTGGCAAGTGGACTTCCGTGAAAGGTGACTTCCTAGCAGTTCCTCCCCGGGGGGCGGAGGGGGCACCTCCAGGCTGACTTTTCTGCAGTCCGTGGCAGCGCGAGCTGTGGGTGTGAGTTTCCTGAGAGCAGGCTGGGCTCAGGGGCCCGGCAGGACTCTGAGTTACAGCGTAAGCAGCCTCCTCCCACCAGCCACTTTTCTAACTCGACGACGTTCCCAGAGACACCGGCCTCTGGACCTTGTCAGGAGCAAATGACAGCTGCATCTCCCCAGGCGGCTGAGGCTCTGGCTCTCGCAGACCCGTCTGTGTTACGGGAGGCTTCGAGCAGATTCCTCCTCTGGCTGTGCTGCTCTCAGCCGCTGCTCCCCAGTCCTGCCAGCACTTACACAGCCAGAGAGGCCGAGGAATGCCCAGCAGTGCCCCGGCTCCGGCTCCGTAAGTTCTTCGATCCCCTGGGCATGACAAGCCGGTGGCTAGTAAACTTCAAACGATGGTGACAAGCAGCCCGGCACATTTTGGTGGTGGCACTCAAAGCCACTGCAACCATCAAAGGCTTTTTATGGTAAATGAGCAGCCATAGCTCATTTGGGAAGTTTTACCATCTGGGTGAGGCCGATTACTAATCTGTCAACAGGGATTTTTTCGGTCACGGGGTTTTGGGCAACGTAAAGGAGCCTTGGCCGAGTTCACCGGTGGGGAAGGAGCAGCGATTCTGCAGAGGAGAACGTGCAGGTTGCTCCGCTCAGACGCTCGGGCGGCCGAGGCTGCGCCGTGGTGCGGAGGTGCTGCTGGAGGCCTCGGCCCCACTCACAGCTGGCCCAGCCGTTGCTTTCTCACTTTCCCTCACTCTCTTTTTCGCTCTCTGATGACTATAAGGAGTTTTAAAAACTAAATAAATAGGAAAAAAGAAAACCAAACACTTCTCTGAGATTCTGAGTATCCGGTGGTGAGGGAAGGTTAGAGAGTCTAGCTGAAATGTTCTTTGTCATGTGATCAGTTTTGGAATTGCGCGTCTATTTCCTGTGAGCCACTTCCAGCTCTGCTTTGATAAGACGGCTAGGACGGAGGATGAGAGGCGGAGTATCCCGCTTGTTCTTTCTTTGGGTCATTTGTTTTATAGACACGTGGGGGGGGGCATCCATCCATAATTTCGGGCTCTAAGTCTCATCCTTTTCAGTCACCCCACAAAACTGTGCAGTGGGTCCGAAATGAAGCCAGGTGAGAGTGGGAGCGATTTGGACCCACAGAGCCTTAGGGGCCACCTGCCCTGGCCCAACCTTAGACGTGTGATTTTCTGATACTGGCTCAGGTTCCTTTTTCTCTGAAGCTTATTTGTTTCTTTCATGAGCGAGCACCCCACAGGGTCCTGATGCACAGCACCCCCAGCTCTAACCAGCTGTGGGTCGGTGTTCTCGGGAAGTCTCAGAGCGTGACCCCGGCACCTCCCATGCGGGTCAGCCTCCTGAGCCTCGAGTCCCCCTGCTCCCCACTGCCGGGTCCCTCACTTTCCTGCTCACACATAAAGGCAGCACATTGGCTCAGCAGTGTTTATATGTTTTATGCTCTATTGTCCTGCCTGGGAAACAGATTTCTGTAGAAGGGAGTAGAGGGACAGACAAACTCAGTTTTCTTTCTTTTTTTTTTTTTTTTAAAGAATTATCTGTTTTGGGGCCGGCAGGTGGTGTGTTGGTTAAGGGTGTTGGATTCCCACATGGCCGACCGCGTCTTGAGTCCTGGACCTGGCGGCTTGCTTTCTCACTTTCTGTCTCTCTCTCTCTCTGGTCAAGTTAAAATAAGTAAATAAATAAAGTTAAATGAAATAATTCTTTAAAAAAGAGAATTATTTATTTAATTTTATTCATTCATTCACTTATTTAAATTTGACCAGAGAGAGAGATACACAGAGAGAGAAAGAGAGAGGAGGAAAATGAGAAAGTCCGCCAGGTCCAGGACTTGAACTGTGGTCAGCCATGTGGGAGTGTCCAGTGCTTTAACCACCATGCCACCTGCTGGTCCCCCAAGAACTCAGTTCTTATCACTTAAAGATCTATGACAGGAAAGGAAATGAAGTAGGTGTGAGTCCACAGCAATAAATTTCATGAATATTTTTGAAGGGATAACCCAGGCACAATCTGGGCTGGTCACAGTTACCCAGCCGTGCCAGCCAGCTGTGCTTCCTCCAGAACTCACGGGGTTGGGGTGGGGCACCCTCAGTCAGACCTGGCTGCCAGAGCACACCAGAGGGTGCCTCCGGGCCGGCTGAGCGCAGGCTGACACACACCCAGAGGCCTGGAGAGTTCGTCAGGAAATTGATTTAGAAAACTGATTTTATCCGGAGCCTCTGACGTGATCACCCTGGCTGGGCTGGACCCAGATCGGGGAGACCTTTATTAAGAGCCTTTTTCTGTTTATCACATGGTCAGAAATGTCCCACATAGTCAGGCAGCAGGGAATCCATAGGGAACTCCCCAAGGCCCCTACATCCTTGGGGCTCTCAGGGATTCCAAGCTGCACTTCCTCCCAGGGACTCCTGGAAGGGCCTGGGAAGTGCATCTCACCCCTGGCTGCTGAGAGGTGTCTGTGAGGAGTGGCTGCCTCCTGGGTTCACCCGGGGATGCCTCTGCCAGGGACAGCTTTCACCAGCTGGCTCTCTCCTGGTTTTGCTCAATAAAGAGCTTGTTTATTAGGAATTCCGGAAAGCTGACCTGGGCCACTCCACTGCCACTCACTGACCAGAGGCCCTCCTCCACATTCCTCTCCGCCCCCCTCCCAAACTGCGCTGTGGTCGGTCACACTGTGCTGAGGGATCTCCCCATACTATGGGCGATCTCACCGCCCTGTGGTCAGTCACCCTGCGCTGTGACAGGTCGCGCTGTGTTGTGAGGGATCTCCCTGTACTGTGGTTGGTCACACTGCACTGTGGCAGGTTGCGCTGTGCTGTGAGGGATCTCCCTGTACTGTGGTCAATCTCGCTGCACTGTGGCAGGTCACACTGTGCTAAGACCATCTCGTTACTCATCTGTCCCCTTCCTCAAGTCTGCCTTCTTTGAGAGGAAGGACGTGTCTTTCCATCCCCAGGGCCTGCACCTGCGCCTGTGCCTGGAACCCGGTAAACTCTGGATGGTGACTGCGTAGCACAGGCAGGTCATCGCCGTGACTGTTCTAGGGGCTGGAGAGGGCCTGACAGGCACTGGGAGGATGGCGCCCTGCAAGGAGAGCTCTAAGCCCCTCTCTTAGGGATCAAGGGAGCAGTTTGATGCTGAGTTCTCAAAGTGGGGGTGGGGCAGGGCAGGGGTTGCTGGAGAAGCTAAACCCAGCAGCTCAACATCAGTAATCTAAGAAGAGAGATGGCTCGGCCCGGGCACCTTCATTTCCACTAGCCAGTCCCATCTAGTCGTGTTCCCAGAAAGGAGAAACTGGTTGCATCTGCCTCGGTATAGCAGGAGCCTGTGTCTACACCCGGCCGGACAGAGAAAGGGAGGACGCTCTGGTTTCCTATTTTCTGGGTCGGCCTCCCAATAGGTGCAATCTCTCCGCTGTGCGGCCTCCCAGTAGGCGCCATCTCTCCACTATGCGGCCTCCCAGTAGGTGCCACCTCTCCACTGTGCGGGCTCCCAGTAGGTGCCACCTCTCCGCTGTGCAGCCTCCCAGTAGGTGCCACCTCTCCACTGTGCTGCCTCCCAGTAGGCGCCACCTCTCCACTGTGTGGGCTCCCAGTAGGCGCCATCTCTCCGCTGTGCGGCCTCCCAGTAGTGCCACCTCTCCACTGTGTGGGCTCCCAGTAGGTGCAATCTCTCCGCTGTGCGGCCTCCCAGTAGGCGCCACCTCTTCGCTGTGTCAGCTGCTAGTTCTGCATCTGAGGGTTCAGAGTGGGCCCTGGTAAATGTGGTGTAAATGGCAAACCAAAGACCAGATTAAAAACAGGAGAAAAGATGCCAGCGTATATTCAGGAACTAGTGGTTCCTGTTA